CGGTGAAAGTCGGATCCCTGTGAATCCACGTTCACGCATTCGTATCTGTAGTATTTGTTTCTTTATCTTGCATTTTCTTGCTCTGACACCATAATATTTGACAGAACTTGGTCGGCTACTATATGTGCGCTTGTCTCCCCGCTTTGATCATCAATCGCTTCAATCGCTTCAAACGCTGCTCGCGCTATTCATCAATTGCTGTCATACACATTTTCTATATTGTTTTTCGTCATTTTCATAGAACACCTTGTCATCCTTTTTTCGCCTTAAGCTACTTTGGTTGCCCCATGTCTGGTTGAAATAATAGTATCCTTAACTGCCTTATCTGCCTGATTTTAAGGAAAAAGCTCCTTATTTCCTTAATGTAAGGAAATGGATCTCCTTATTTTAAGTGTAAAAAACGGCCTTAAATTTGCCTTATTTGACGAATTAAGGAATTTAAGAAGCGCATAAGGCACTCGATGATTTCCTGATGTTCAGAATACCAGCAGGTCAGTGTCACATCGAGATTCGATATTCTACGAGTTCAAAGTGGAAAAATGTCCGAGTCGGGACTCGGATGTACATGTTCCATTCCACAGAGCCGAGCCGAGCAAGTGTAAGAGAAGCAATCTGTATGCGTTGATATCTTCTTCGCTTGCGATTTGAAAGGCAAGTATGTTCCGGAACTGTACATGTTGTTACTGACCAAACATTCGAACGCCCAATCAATTCAAATCGTACCCCCAATTCAAGGTTTAGCGCCTTTCAGCGTCAGGCGTACTATTCACGACGCTTTCCGCCCTGACACTAGGCTGTGTTGCACCTGACACCTGATATCTCCTCTGCTTGTGATTTGATAGGCATTGGGCAATCACCAAACGCTGAACGCCCAATCAGTTCAAATCGTATTCTAAATCCAAGGTTCAGGCGTGCTTCGTAGCTGAACTAGTAAATGGGACGTAATCAAGTGTCTTTGAGGATAGCATCCCTTGATTCTTCTTTCAGGCATAAAGACAGATCCCTTCGACTTGGGAATGCCGACCGTAATCTCCTCTGCCCTAACTAACTTCCGTCACCAGTTGTTTTCGCCATGGATTACACCTCGCCACCATCCGAAGAATCTCGACAGAAATTCAAGTCTACAATCTTGACGATGCTCCGCAGCGCCATCAAGGTTGAGCTTTCAACTATCCCTGTGCGACATTTTTGCTGGCTTCTACCCAAGCATACCTCTCACGCTGTTTTGGATCTAGCTGTATCTTTACTCAATATACAGCATCATCAAAGACGATGGGAAAGGCGGAACCCAGGCGAGGGCGAAGATTTCAGGTAATCCTCAACATTCAAGTTTCATTGCGACTGTCTTTGTAACTCGGTTTAGTTGTTGTTCACCAGGAGATGTTACACCTGGCACTTGCCGGAAATCTCCTTACATCAATCGATTCCGGGCCCCATCTTTATTCTGCTGCATCCCTGCCGACCTATGGCGGTCCAGACGATGTCATTCTTTATTCGAAAATTCCACTCAGACTTGAACGTTGCGAAAAAAGCAATCTCGAATGCTTTTTGAGGGTGACTTGACTCCTATCTCGTAGCAGAAGGAATTCCTGAAGCGCTTGATGTAGATCGAGGCTCCTTACCTGGCACCGTCAAAACTCACTGCCGAGGAAGAGAGCGCTAATACCGGTGTTCATGATCGTGTTCATCCAGTTCTGGGTGCCCTCGACAAGTTCAACAGCATTGGAGAGTTCTATTCAGAGCTTGAAGACAGTAGGTCTTCGGCTTACCTTCACCAGCCACTGCTCAACTAGTACTTTTAAAGTGATCAAAAAGTCCGCAGAATATATTACTTTCAAGAATAAAGACCTCCAGTTTTCTCCAACGGATTTTTTCTCCGACAAGATGACTCAAGTGACCGACCAAAAGTCTGCGCACCATGCCTTGAAGATTATTATCGATCAAGGTGAAGGTAGTGTTGGGGTCGAAGAAGCACATTACCAGATGTTCCTCGAACTCTACATGAAACGCACCGAGTGGACATGCCAGCCTGTACCGAACTCGCCAAAGACCGAGACATACAAAGAGAACAAGCTCGTGTACGAGGTAAGCATTCGAATTGTGCACTCCGCTCGATGTCCTTGAAAGTATGTTAGCTGGCGCTTGCATTCAATGCATCGTACTGCTACTTGCTGGTGACGATCCAGAAGACGTGGCAAGTCAGTGATCTTCTCTTTCGGCGGGGCCTTATCGGAAACATCCATTCGATCATGATCGACGTCATGACACCCCTGGCCGAGTTCATGGTCAATGAACCCTTCCAGGATGGGAAAGCTGCACCCCCGTTCGAGTTTTACGATGTGCAAGCCGAAGATCCGAGCAAAGTTGATGAGGCAGCACGAAAACTGTGGGCAGCGATCCAACTTCATCTTGGAAATGCGATCAATGAAGTTCAGGATGCGGAGAAGAAGGAGGTATTGAATGTCATCAAATTTTCCGCAGAACGCATCATGTGGCCTATGCCTAGACTGGGTCATTCCTCCGTCTAGCGACTAGTAGAATACGAAACTCAAGAGTTGTTCAAGGTAGTTTAAATTTTCGCTGCCTGCGACCCAATTGTATTATGTACATGCGGAGTAGTCTGACAAGCGCTGTATTATTCCAGAAAATCCTCCCCGTCAGAAATACAAGAGATAGGTTTCCACAACGCAAAACAGGAAAGAGGTAAAATACCACACAGTATAGCGCGAGGATGAATAGCGAGGATAACAACGAGGATAAGATACGATAACGTGGGATGGGCATGGTATCCAGAATAATGCAGGATATACGATGGAATAGCGTTCGAATACAATGAATAGCGAATAGCATGTGGGTACGAAGACAGATAAAATATTATCAAAGGAAAAAATGAGCTCCTGTATATCAAGTGAGACTCATCCGCGAGGCTTGTACGAGTATTCGTCGGTGAGGAAGTAGAGTAGCAAAGCGTTCACTTCAGATGCATGAGTCACAGTGAGATCGTGGCCACCATCGCTGATGGTGACGAGGTCGGCTTGAGGCACCAGATTGTGTATCTTAGAAGCGTATTTATAGGGGACAGTCTTGTCTGATGTGCCCTTCATCATAAGAGTTATAATTGTAGTGACAGATCGATGGGACTAACTCTTACATGAATGAGCAACACTTGGTTGCCCGAGCGTGCGAGGGATTGGAATGCAAAACGCAGGCCACGAATAGGACCGTCGCGAAGGCAAGATGCCACGGCAGCGTTATAGTGAGGAAGGTGAGCAGTTTGGAGACGGACAATCTGAGAGGGAATTAGCAGTTAGTGACTAGAATAGGTAACCAGGAAAAACGGACTTCTTGTATCGGATTGGTTTCACAAAGTTCAGAGGATTTAGAAGTATTCGCAAGGAGACGCATGTAATGCTACATCATTGTCAGACGGGAGAAAAGGGAGCAACCCTTCAAGCTTACTTGGAAAGGTGGGAGGGCAGACACAGTTTGGACGAGGGGAGTTGACATAAATTTTGCTGTGCGGGAAATATCGCTCGACTATGTGAGATCAGTTAGATGGACACTTTGGTGTGCTAGTTGCCAGTTACCTCCATGATACCAGCTGAAGCAATCAGAGCGACTTTTCCATCTACAAGATGAGGGAAGTGGGCCGAAAATGCAGTTGCAACGCCGCCTCCCTGTTCGCAATTGGAGAGAGAATAAGTGGTAGATCAAAACAAGAAGACGACTTTACCATCGACAATCCGACAACGAATGCATGATCCCATTTAACGTGTTGCATAAGGAGCGCGAGTTGGGTGGTGTGAAGGGTGGTATCATAAGTGACTTGGGGAGCATCCGAGTAACCGCGACCATATAAATCTACAACATCAGTGGAATCAGACCGTAACGTACATTGAAAGACAAGAACGCACCATACAGAAGTACACGGTATCCTCGGGAGGCAAGTACAGGCGCTACATCTTTCCAGACGATTGCCGGGATGGAAAGTCCATGAATCAAAACAATCTAGCAATCTCGATAAGTCTATGATACTCGTGCACACGAACACACGCACATGCCGCCCGTCCTCCGGTCCTATGAGCCAATACCGCACCTGGGTTGTATATACGTCAGCACTAGAACACGAGTACGAATCAGCAAGTACGTACCCGCCCTAGAGGTAGGTTGGCATATGCACCGCCGCTATACAAGTCCTCTGGGTATACATTCCACGACGGCGATGAGCTCGGAAGGTGCGCTAGGGATGTATGGATGATGGGTACAGTAGGTGGTCGCGGGAAGCTGGCCAAGAGATAAACAGTGATTAACAGCGCAGGAAGGAACAGGGTTAGATATTGGAGTGGAGTTGAGCCCATCGTCGTTGACGATGTCGAGGATATGCACAAGATGGCGGTAATTAAGCACAAATCGCGTAAATCATGAAACGCTAAAGTCGTTACGTTGTCCACAACAGGAGGAGGGGTCAAATGACAAATCGTCCCAAACAAGGTCTAAAAGGGTGTCGCAATGTCACCTGATTACAGCTTATGCAACTCCGACGGATCACGTGACGTGCACCGCGCGTTGAGTTGGCGTTGTTTGGCTTTTTGATTTCTTGCGACCGACGACTCCTGCTCATCGTCACTCACGACAGCCACGACCCATACTGACAAGGCCTCTCGCTGCCGGTCGAGATGAGCAACGAATATCCACCCCTGGCTCTCGATGATCTTGTTCATATCATCTTCCCCTCACCGGCGCCACCACTCGCAACACTGGATGACCCTCAACTACCCCTCCGCCCCCAAACCGCATCTCCGGAGCCCCAAAATGATTCTGACATACAGGAGGTGCGCATGAGTATCACGGATACGCAGGATGTTAGTGGAGGGGAGAAAGAGCTACCGGATAGAGTGCGTCATGTCCCGTTCGATATTATCACGGGACCCTAGACTTATCTTCCATATCCGTACTAATAGGTGATGAAGCACACTGGTGCTGTACATCCTGACCCAGAGCAAGTCATCAGACAGGCCGAAATTATATCCTGCCTAATTGACCAGCGCGATATGCTCGTGCGACAGGCTGAGGAGCAGAGATTGCGGTGGAACTCGGAGAAGGATGGTTGGGCACGGATGGCCGAAGCACTTATTGCACAGCAGGCCAAGCACAGGATTTCGTCTGATAAGGATGAAGTAAGTCATTTTTCTCTCCCTTTAGCGATTTTGGTCTAGCAAGACTGCATCGCCGTCTTGATAAATCACTTTCAATGTGTATCATGCCAATTAGTTGGCCACGACGCTGTTGGCCGTAAGCCAGGCTTATGTACATGTGAACATGGCAACATGGCTTATGTGGTCCTCGTCGCCTCTCTTTCTCTCTGGACTACAAGTGACTGACTTTGATTCAGGACCTTGAGCGACAGCATGCTATAACTGAAGCAGACAATCGAAGTCTCCGCCAACGAGTAAGCTAGTCCTTCCGTCATACACCCCTATCGCTAATAACCCTACTAGCTTCATGAAACTCAATCGCGCCTCTCCATCCTCGAAGGTGAACTATCTCGCCTCCGCCCCTTGCTTCTCATGCAACCGCTCGCATTAAATGGGCCTGCCACACTGAATGAAGCGCCAAGGGCTCGGCCACGCCGGCGGAGAAAGAAAGATCCACTAACCACGGAAGACGAGGACCCTGGTCCTGATCCTTCTGACGATGATCATCCAGGGGAGCCTGAAGATACGCCTACAACCACGCCAAAGCAGAAAAATCGTACAGCAGCAGCAACTGTCCAGCCGCATGCTCCCAAACGCCGTCACTCTCAAAGGCGTGCTCCGCGAGTTCTGACTGCAGATGCAAGAACAGAGCACTTGCTGCTAGCGGCAAAGAAAATAGGCAAACACCGTGCCGGAATTATGGCTGGCCTCACACAGTCTCTAGATAAGCGGCGGGAGGAATCAACTTCTACCGTTGTTGTTACCCCCAAGACACCAAAGCGCACGGCAGCTATCCCCCCTGGGCCAGGGTACGTCTATCTCAATAGTCCTATGCGCCCAGGTGCTGTGCCGGTGCTTGTTCCTGCATATTCGCACCACCTGCTCAAAACCCCAAGCTCTTCTAAGACAGCGGCTTCAGCATCTTCCTCCACCCACCAACAGAAGCAGCAGGGTGCGCGGATCCAGAACCCACCAACGCCTTTGGACTCTCTTTTAAGTGCAGCAAGGTCGATGATGGATAATGAGGAAGATGAGGAAGAGACTGCCACCGGCACAAGGCGTTCGCGGTCAAGCGACATCCCTGACAGCCCTATACCGAAACGCAGGAAAATCGTCGCTCGGGACAAGGTCAGTGCGCTCAGAGACCAAGCAAGAGATCAAGGTGCAGGACAGCCAAGCAGTAGCTCGGCTGGCTCCAATTCAACTGCTATTGGCAGGGTTAGATCAGGGCTGGACGTACTAGCTGATCAGGCTGCCGCATTCTCTTCGCAAGATCAACAAAGTCATTTAGAACCTCAGTCACTGGCAAAGGGTAAAGGAAAGGAGAAGGCGCTCACCATTCCTGACAAATCTTCCGACAATCAACTGAGAGCGAAAAGCAAGTCGAAGAAGAAGCAGCCCCTGCCTGACGTTGCCTCCCAGCCTCCTCGGTCCCGCCGCCCCTCGCCATTGCCTCGAGGAAATGCAGTTGACTGGGGTTCCGGACCGCCAAATCTTCGTCCAGTCCAATGGACCGAGGGGCCTATCCAAGATTCGTCCGGGAATAACGGTTCTGCCAGTGAGATTACGATAGCTGCAACAGCTGCCTCTTCTCAGTCTATGACAATATCCCCTACCCCTCCGCGATCCGAGCCGGCTGATCAAGTGATGCGTGATCGTCCCAGCAGCGTGGCCACACCACCGCCAACACCTCCCGCCGAACACACTCCCGAACCCAGCATGGATGCGCCCCCCAGCCAGTCCGCCTTTATTGATCCATTCCTTGTACCTCCTTCTCCTGAGCGTGAAAGCTCCCCAGCTACAGAAGCTGTAGCACCGTCGTCTGCACTACACCAGCGAGCAGTCACGACCCCGATCAGTAGCAGTTGGGGAGATGCCCCGTCGGATTTGCAAGCACATCTGCGACATGAGACAGCTCCTGGGAACACCGACGCCGGAAGCGCTGATTCGATCGCTGATAATACCGAATTAAGTTCTGGTCCTGCAACTGAATCGGGATCTGTCGCGATCACGAAGAACAAAGAGGTCACCAGGGTTGTGGGCCAAGATGTCCCCAAGAGGCAGCGAAGTCCTTACGTCAAGTGGAGCAAGGAGGAGGATGATCTACTTGCTCAGGTCTGTGTTCTATCATCATGCAGCGCGGCAGCATCCTTGACACGTTGTAATAGGCCGTCGCAAAATACGGACAGAAGTGGGACTTGGTCCAGAAAGCGTTGCCATCGAGGGGGTATCACCAGGTTCGACAGCGATGGCTTCGTAAGCTAGGTTCGCTGCAAATTAAGCATCATTCACTCCCAAAGCTTACCCGACTTTAGGAGTCTTCGACAGCAAACCAGACTTGTCTGCCTTCCAAACTGGTAGTTTTTCATCTGGCTCGCGTTTAGGGGAGACGCCGGGATCACCCGTTCCTGCTGAACCTCCTCCGAACCCGAAGCTGGGACTTGCTCCGTTGAGTAGCGAACTTGCTTTTTCGTCGTTTTTATCTGGGAGGGGGGAGAGTCGACCATCGTAGCAAAATTGTCGCTATCTTGATAATTGCTGAGAGGATTGTACCTTACTGTATGGGTTTATTGACTAGTAGCACCAGTCGCTGGTCAGATTGTAATCGTTGTGCGGGTAGTATGTAGCAGCTGCTTGATTTTTTTCGGATATTAATGAAGAATGCAACACTTGGGAGTGACTGCAAGTTGCGCTCAGCGGCAGCCAGCGGCTAGTTCTTATTCCTAGATAGGAAATTTGTTCTTTGCTTAATTGTCCAAAACTTTCACCTTGTCCCGGTCAGTCGTCATGCATTCATGATCACAGCTGCAGTCCGGGCCAAACTAGGGAACTTTCCTACAACGCCAACATGTACTTACTTGTCCGCGCTGTCAAATCGTCGCCCTGTCCACAAAATCCATTATGACAACGTCCCTGGACCCTCTACAAATAATAGCATCAATTGTGGTGTGCTTTCAATATAAGCATCAAATCTCTTTCATGGCGAGTTCGTGTGGCTATTCCAGAGTCCTCACGCCTGTAGATGATATTGACTTTGCCGCTATTTGGGACACACTCCATGTATCGCACGCTGCTGCAAGGAACGAGAGTCAAAGGTGCTGTTTATCTCCTTGACTTCTAAAGTTGATGCAACAGTTCCTTGAGGAATGTGCGGGTAAGCGCCATCCATCCTGCAACATTTTCTTTGCTCACCACGACAACATACTCAAATTTGCTTTTTAGGGCTTGCAATAGAATAGCAGTAGGCACCACTAACTTGCATGCATTCAAACACAGGCGACTGTCGTTGTCAGTGCCAACGTAGCATTCCTGGCAGTTTATGTAAGCAGTACGACCCAATATACGTACCATCTGCTGATAAATACATTCGTCTAGGGGATCAACGCGCTGAAAAACCCGCTTCACTTTCATTATCATTGTTTGCCATGATGTGCATCACCGTCGGGGTGTACCACGTGTGACGACACTAAGGCAAGGTGGACGCACTCTACTAGGATGCAGCACGTATCACACCTAATTCCATGTTCTTGATGGATCATTGATTCGATCTCAGGACTCGTACCTATACCATGTCTGACGCCTGGGTGAACACGTTGACTTGACCATAACTGCTTGTTTTCTCTCACTTCCAGTCGTGTCACTGTTGTGGTCCGTCCTCTGCTTCACTATCGCTATCACCACCTTCTGCATTCAAGGCACCAGCCTAAACAGCGGAATCATGCTCGTTACCCTATTGAGCCTTCTTGCATTCTTTGCTTTCGTCAAACTGCCCTTTTTCTGGCACATCTGGAGAAGTCCCCGGCGCAATGAAATCGAGATGGCAGTGAAGGACTTGATTAAACTTGACACATGCACACTAGGTCTTTCATTATTCCTTCGTGGCACGCCACGAGCAAGGTCAGATCAGATCACTCTTTATACTTACAGGCTATGCATAATCACATTGGTTAATTGTATGCATGAGTTCGACACCTACACTAACGACCAAGTCCTTTGTAAGGAAGAGAAAACGGAATACGAGTCCAGGTTCAATCTATCAGTATGATTTCATATGATCAAAAGCTTTCTCCAGTGTGTACCATTCACGCATGAATGTTTACCGTCGCGTTGCGATATTCAAGAAACGGGTATGGAGCCGCCTATCAAACAGGCCTCAGATTATGAATGAAGACGATAAAGTGAAGTCCTCGTACCCCAAGAAGACACAGATGCGTGAGCGTGAAGATAGCAGGACCCACTGCAAGGTAAGAGGGGATAGTGACGGTAAAGTTCTGGTAGTAACCACCAGGAAGGGGGTTCTGAGGTGTCCAGGGGCCTGCATAGAGTACGGATCCTAACGCATCTGCGGGGTGGGGGCAGCCGTTTGCGCAGTTATTGATTGCCAAGGCAATGCCAACCTGAATGCAAGATGCCATGGATGTCTATAATATCTGTCAGAGTGAAACATGATATTGAGTGACGAACCAACTACTAACCGGTCTGATAACCTGAACGGCCACTGTCTGACCGGGGGAGAATTGGGCCCCATTCTGAGGGAACCCTAGCTCGATTGTCTGAGCTAAGGCAGCAGAAATCCCTACAGCAAAGATGGTTATGCACTTGGAGAACTTCATTATGTGAATGGACAGTTGACTGCGAGGATGTTTGAAAGATGCTTTCTAGTTCTTATTCGCCATGCAAGTAAGACCTTTATACCCAAGGTGGCATTGTTTACGGGGGCATTGGGTGTCAAATGATACATGCACTGCGTCGCGCATTAAATCATCATTGCACGGTGTCAATAACTTTCGACGTTCAGGTGGAGTTAAGTGTTCGGGACACTTGGGGCATTTGACAGTCATAGCTGTGACTAAGTATGGTCATGTCAGTGTTTCAGACCAGCCATGAAGATGGGTCGAAGACTGGAGGAGCACGAAACCGATTTCGGAAATGTATCCTGAAATTAATATCCCGTCAAGTGAAATGCCCACCGTTGGCATTCAGTTCCACACGCCGGTAACTTGTTGCCGCCAAGTCACCATCGAAGCAGTGAGGTGACTGAAGCTAGTATAAACCGCCCACTCACCCACCTGTCAGATCATCGACGTACCGTGACGTTAGCGGTGATGTGAAGCCGGACAATTTGCTATCCTTTGTCAACAGTGACAAGAAATTGCTACAATGTAAATGCTTGATCCGAGGGGCGCGGGTACCTAGGTGGGTCAAGGAAGGCACAAGTGAAATTCAATCTGGTAGGTCTGCATTTGTTTTACGCTCACTAAAACAGCCGCAAATCAAAGCCTTTCGCAAACAAAAGCAAGTCATTGCACAGTGGCAAAGAGGTCGAAATGCCTGTTACTGCCACAGCAGAATCAGTAGCAGCAACGATGAAGTGGATTATGTATACTCACTCCACCCTGGACTACGCGCGCAGGAAGAGACTAAGTAGTATTACATCCGCGAGTAAAGCTCTCCTAGTCTCGAACCTTCATCCCAAATTGGGACCGCCAAACACAGCTGAGTATTGCCTCTGGGGCCCCTATCTCCAATGTGGATTTAGTGATAGGTACCACGATCAGGGATTTGAATTGTTCCTAGAGGTACAGCGTGGCCATAGCTTCGTCGAATGAAGTCACTGGCGGCGATTCAAAATGAAGTGGATAGAGTGCACCAGTGGTTGAATGTTCATGCTTTGAAACCATATCCATTCGTGTCTCACACCCTGGGTGAGCCTTTCATTGTGTCGTAGTCACCTACAGTATCTTCGGGCGCCAACATGTGCAAAAGTTAGAAGGTAAGTTGTGGTTATGAACTCGAGTCGTCCTCTACACTTTTTCTCTTCAAACTCCGACAAGTGCCTCAACTTTAACTCCCAGGCCCGCCCCATTAGCATAATGTCTGGACTCTGGCACCGAGACTAAACTTCAAGGTATCAATGATTACATTGTACAGCGTATTGTTCCTCAAATTTAATTGCTCACCACATGTGTTATATTACCGACATTGACCTGTTGCTCCATTCATTATATGTTCTTGTCAGTCCGAAGGCTGAGGTCCATCCCATCGGGTCGTGAAAACATAAGTCGTTCGTATCTTTAGATCTCGATCATCTTGTCCTTGATATTTTGATTCCGGAATAGAGGACATCTACGAGACACATCCAACACATCCTCAGTAAGCAATGCCTTTACCATTTTGCGAAATCGATATTTGTATCCCGGAACTTTTGTGCGTTGATCCATGCGCCTAAATAGAATGTGAGTCATTCGTGATGCAAGATGAACCAAAGCAGAGCTGTCGCTATGTCCATCAGACCAAGCTCCATATTTGGCTGTAGCACAACGGCCTTGTGTCTTTCCAAATTCACCCTGTGACATGCCTTGGCCATGCAAGGCCCTCCAGCTGGCCGCCAGATATTGGAAAGAAGCCTACCGTTCTCTATCTCTTGCATCATGTATCAAATTCATATGACCAAGACGTATTTACGTCGGGTCAGAGCGTTAAGATGAAATGGCAACGATTACAAATGCCCTAGATCCCGATAGCAACACCTTGAGGATAGATTTGGCGCGAGTGATCAAATGCTTCGGGCATCTGATGGGCTGGTTATGAACGCATTGGTGTGTTGTACAAGTCTATAGATACACGGTTTCCTGATTGTCTTTGTGTGGTAGAGATTGCATTGTAATTCCTTATACTCGGACGGTTTCATTTCATAGGTTTTGGGGTGTAGGTATCTGGGTTTCATTTCATGACACGGGTATAAGAGTATAGTACATTGTCCTAGTTATATATTCGTGCTATCATTAAGAGATCATCATACATGTGAGGCGGAATGCAATGCGTGAGATAATAAAAACTTGCAGAATTTGTCTGTGGAAGACATCCTGGAATCTATTCCCAGTCCACACTATTTGCAAATTCTTCCAATAAATCGTCCGACTCCAAAGTGATGTTGTCATCTTCCGATGACTCGTTCGAAGCCTGATCGTCATCTACATCAATGATGACGGGCGCTTGGGGCATTGGGGCAGGTCCATCAGCGGCAGGCCCTTTGGGACAAGTCTTCACATGACGGTTCAAAGAGTCTGAGCGACTATAACTAGTAGAATCCATATATCAGCCCTAGTGACATTGAAAGACGTGTGGTACTTACTCGTCATCACAGAATGAGCATGTAAATTGACCGTCGCTCTCATTGTGCGTATTCGATCCTATGATATGGTTCCGTACACTGCCTCTTTTCATCGGACGTACGCCTTCACACTGCGGGCGGGGACATTTATACTTGACCTCGCCATCCTCTAAGACCGGTGTCTGATGAAACAGCCATCAGTGGGATAGCCAGAACTAAATAAATAAATTCGACTCACAAAGTCGGGAGGTATACCATGGTACACTCGTGGGCGTTTCGTACGAGTCTCTCGTCCCGCGGCATCATCATCCACCGCCTTGCGCTTCCCTACTCGCGCTTGCTGCATGGGTCCCTGCTCGAGGTGTTGGACATCGATGGATTGTACCATAGAGGGTACGGATTGAGAGTGATACTGCGCTACGCCCACAGCCTGGGGGCCAGGGGCATACGCGCCATAAGGTAGGGGAGGAAGGAAGGAGTAGCCGTACGGTGGCCCCGAGACCATATGAGGCTGGGGGAATTGGGTTGGAAATGGAAGGGGAACACCTATGGGCCACATCATATGTTGCATGACGCGAGGCACGCCAGCACTAGACACCGTATTCGCAATTCCGTAGGCTGTGGAAGCCGGCACAGGTGCAATGAGCTGACATGGGTACATAGGATGGTAAAGTCCAAAGCGCTGGTGCTGGGGTAGAGGGTGGGGGTGGGGTGGAAGCTGAGGATAATGGTGGGGTGGAAGCTGAGGATAATGGTGGGGTGGAAGCTGAGGATAATGGTGGGGTGGAAGCTGAGGGTGAGGGTGGGGTGGAAGCTGGGGGTGGGGCAGGCCTGCGATCCCACTTTGGTCAATTTGATTCGCATGTTGGTCCATATTCAATGACTGAAAATGCTTGAAATAGAAATAGCTTGTCGAATGGGCGAGGATCTAGCTCGTAGCAGTATAAGATAAATAACAACAGGTGAAGTAAGTGTACAAGAGAAACTCACGGTGCACAAGCTAGATGGTAGACGGTGCACAAGCTAGATGGTAGATGTGGAAGGCAAAATACGATGGATGTGGAAGAGATGGAAAGGGATACAAGTGGCAGTATTTAAACTCGTGGGACACCTGCAACAAGCAGATCAAGGATTTGGCTTACGTTGCGGCGCGTCGAGTCTTGGACGCGTTCCTTCCTTTTGCGTCTTGTCGTCCACACCTTTGCACAGCCTAAGCGGCATAGTGAGCACAGCTTAATCGTATACAAAGGAATGCATCCACAGACCTTTCACATGTGCACATTTTGTCGACGGACAATCTCACGACACAGGCCACCCAGATATTCCCCCATCTGGCTGGGGGATCTTCAATCAGGGGGATTGTCGAGAAGAGTGCGGTAAGTCAATAATGATCAAACATTAAACGCGAAGCGCTGGATCTCGATTTTAGATTACTTTCCCTTGGCTGGGTATGTTCTTCGTGCGTATCCTGTTGGTCGTTTTCTCAAGATGTCGCCGACAGTCATTGCCATCCAAAATTGCACACTCAAAATCTGATTGGCAAAGTCTATCAACATAAACGCAATGGACAAGAGATCGCATGCTTATTGACACTAACGAAAAATATATTTCTCCAACCACCGATGCATCTCTCGACCGCGCTCAAGTCACATTGCATCTCCGGGCTGCCAGGAACAGGTCCACACGGACGGCGATCTCCGCACATCAAGAACTCCTCTCTTCTTTCTCACAAAACAGTTCGCCATTGGACTTTTAAATGAGCAGCCCGCGTGTCAATCTGGCGCATGCTCTCCGCGTCCAAAACCATGCTGCGTGCAGTTGGACATGTCAGATCACGTCAAGACCAAAGTTCAAGGTAAGAGACGTACCGTTGAGTCAAGTGCAACGAGCAACTCAGTGTCATGAATCGCCTCGTAGATGATAGTGCCCTGGAAGGCCGCAATCCACCTGCGGGATTTTGATTTTGGTGAGTGCTGGTCCTTAACATTTAATTGGACTTATAATGAGTTTGTCAGGATACATTGACTGCCCACCGTAGGCCTTGGGCATTCTTACGAAGGCTCGAAGCGTCTATATTCCCAGCAAAAACAGGGTCAGACGCGGTATAAAGGGTCTGCACGAGCCAGCGTGTTTGTTTCCCGCACGTGGCGCATTTCTTAAGCGCCCGCAGGGTTAAGATGTGTGGAGAACGAAGTGCATTTTTGTACGTGTTCTCGCATCCTCAAAACACCATCAGGGGGGTTAAACCACACTAGATCACCAAAAACATGTGGGCCGGGCGAACGACTCCATCTCACTACGTCAAAAAGGGCACCGACTGGTGAAATGGAAATAAAATACTCACCAATGTTTAAACGCTCAGGTGAATAGGGCGGTCTCGTTCGCTTTTAAACCACCTAACTGGAGCACGAGCTTCAACCAACTTCAGCGCCAGCGCCCTTCCCCCTCCTCGAAAAAACCCGAGATTCGATCAAACTTTACAAAGAGTCTGAGGATGGAGGAGCCTGAGGGAGTTGAAGTCGAGGAGGTTTCTTAGATGGTTCTGCTGGTGGTGGTCTGGACGTATACAGGTGAGTCGTGACGCATGTTTGGTCGTTTTCTCTATGAGACTCGTGGGACAGGATAACACGTACTTCATTGGCTTAGTAAGCAATTTCTAAGTAAGGAGCGGATATGCAGATCCAAAACATCGTTCTCTACCGTGACGCTTTTCCTCTTCAAACCGACGTTAGTGCCATCACATCTGACTAATGCAAACCTCAAGATATCAATCCTACGCGATATTCTCATCGTCTTCAGCAGCTACTGGAGTCTCTGCCAATAGCATGACAAACCTTGGCACCGAGTCATTTCACAAAGTCAAGACACATTCCAGGCTGTATTTGAATGTGCTGGTGTTCTCTTCATGATATATATATAGGATCGTGCAGGCGTTTGCGCGAAAGTGTACGATTCTCTTTCCCTAAGCATTTCAACTCACCGAGTGAATTTCCTGTGCTAGAGCGTCAATCTCATGTCTACTCATATCCCACACGCTAATGTTATTGTGTATTCGCATGCATGGTGTATCTGGCAGCAGCATTCAATCATATCATTCGCATTTCTTCAAGTTCGTTGTTTGCTCTTCGTTGTAGTTTTACTGTCCACGGAGACCACCTTTCCCCATGCCATTTAATTAAGATATCGCGTCACTTGAACATGCACTGGCAACATTAAGACTCCTAATGTTCCCAGTGCATGTTCAAGTGACGCGATTATTTAGGACACAGCGGGAGCGAAAAAAAAATGCCTTAGATTTGATAAAATCAGCCTTTGGGAGAGACTTGGCCTGTGATCACATTCCTTGAGGATGATGGGCCTGCGATGAACGTATCAATGAATCGTAGTCTGGCGGGCCATCCTATAGATCACGGTTCCCCTCTTTACATGGTGTCAGAGATCGCATTAGAATTCCTTGTGCTCGTACAATTTCGTTTCGTTCGCGAAATCATAAATTGTTCGTTCCGTGACAGATTGTTGTAATGATGTGGGGAAGGAGGAGGATGTAATATGTGACAAGTGAAAGTCGGTACAGGATGGGGATACGACATCGCAATGAAGTAATATATAATCCATAACAAATATCGCAGCTGTACAGTACAAATGATGAGATCATTTTAACCATTGAGAGGCCATGAAAGTGTTTGCGACGCCCGAAGCCGACTCGTCAATTAAGGAGGTTCAGGTAGCATCTGCATCACGCTGACGGGAGTGCGTGGAAGGTTCATGCAGCGCCTGGAAACGCCATTCCACAACACGAGAAGATACAGGATCTTGCGTGGATGTAGGCAACGGTGAAGTTCCCGGGGTCTTGGAGTTCAGCATAAGATTTAAGGCCTGCACAACGGTTTGGGTGGCCGGGACGGATCTGGAAATGCGCTGCCCGTTCACAGGCAGCGGGTCAGCCATAGAGCCTATCTTAACATTCAATGGCCCTTTTGGCCAGGTGACGATAGGCTGAGTCACAGACAGGTGTCAGTGGGATGGCGAGAGTCAAAGAAATAAATTAGACTCACATGGTCGGGGCAGTCTTCAAGGGAAAACTGGAGTTGTTCAATAATCCCCAGCACATCATCATCACCATCCTGCTTGCGGTTGCCCTGCTCAAAATAATCGTATCCCTGGATCTCGAATGGCACCTCGAATTCCACGGTAGATGGCCCGGCAGAATTATACGGGAGGACTAAGTCAGCAGTTGCCTGCACTTGCGCATGGGGTGCTCCAGTCGGAGTGTTCGCGGTCATCACAGGAGCTGGGCAAGCTTCCACTGCAGAATGGTGAGACGGTTCTGCATCCATATCCCCAGGAGGTGGGGCGGACATAACGATGACGTTCTGTGGCAACGAAAAGTGGTCCTGCTGGTCCATATTTGATTATCGGGCAAGAGTGAAATATCGTCAGTGGCGCCAGGCGATAGCCTATGGAAGGATCAGATGAGTGATATCAGATGAAGTAATTTTGCAGGAGTAACCTACAGTGCACAACTTAGATAGTGGAAAGGAAAAAGCGATGTATGTGAAAGAGGAGGAAAGGGAGATAAGTTGCGGTATTTATACTGTTGGAATCCTTGCGAAAAGTGGATGTGGCCTTTCGCTGTTGTGGATTACTTCCTTTTTTGTATGTTCCACACCTTGTTGATGCGCCCACCGACCTTCGGTTTTGTCAACAAACAATAGTACACTGCACAGACCACCGGGATATTCCTCCACACAGCTGTCACATAGGATGTTCAAGTAGGTCGAGAACAGTGCAATTATTTGTTTACAAAAATTAAATGCGACTCGCTGGATCTTTTTCAGAGTATATCCTTCGTGCATATGATTCTGACATTTTCTCCAGGTACTTCCGGCAGTCTTTGGCATTGAAAATATACTCAACGATCTAATTGACAAGATTTATCATGATAGACACACTGGACAGGAGATCACACCGATCAAAGGGTCCATCACTTCAACGGGTCCAAGTCACATAGCGTCTCTGGGCCACTCGGCACAGGTCGCAAGAGTCCACACGGACATCGAATGCGATCTCCGCGCCTTATAAACATGCAACACTATCACAGAACAGTGAGTCGCTGTGCTTGTGATAGGCAAATACAACAACTTACTGCCACAAGATCAGAACGTTCGTATCACATTCACATTAATTTACAGTACTCGGATTCGCAATCCAGAGAAGAGTCTTTGCCAGGTCTTGACTACCGAACAAAAGGATTCCCGTCGCAGGTAATTCAGGTGAATACCGAAAAGTTGGCGGTCTACATCTAACAATGCGTCCCAATCCAGTAAACGCACCGCCGTGACATTCTGCGCAAGCTCTCAGCATCCACAAGCGTAGGGTTGACTTCCTGTATTCGGTGGAACATGTCAAAGGACCACGCGAACAAGGTCAAGGTAAGAGACGTACCAAAGTCCAGCACGACGAGTAACTGTCTCATGAATTACCTCGCAGAGCAGATGTACTATCCTTTGCGGAAGGTAAGGCCGACGTTCACCTGTGAGATTTCGGTGAGTGCTGCTCATTCATTTGACATTTAGTGTGACCTCGAATGAATTTGTGTAGGAATCAATTGTCTGCCCACCGCGCGCTTTGGCCCTCCTACGACGGATCAAAGTGTCTTTATGTCCAAGAAGCACAATGAGCCAGACAACCACGGTGTAGAGGTCTGCGCAAGCCGCCGTTTTTCATTCCTTCATTGCGGTCAGGCCTGGCTTAGGGACACGAGGTAAAGTTTATTGACGCCCATAGGTTTACTGATTCCCGAGACATGGTTTTCTGTCATGGCCCAGACCCAAGCAGAAGGACCGTCGAAAGGACCAAACAAGTGCTGTGACCTAGGTCTGGTACAAGTGCAGGGCATAATGAGGAAGTTAAATTGGTGAGTAACGATTCAGACCAAAACGTCGTAAATTCTCCTCCAACATCCGAACGAAACAGAGTTTTCGCAGGAGAAGTCGAAACTGTGAGTGGAAATTATGCGAGATTTGGTTTCCTTACCGCGATTTCAGTCACCGCAGGATTTTGTGATGTATAGTGAGTCCGACAAAGGCTAGTTATTTTCTGAAGAAAACATGAGTTTCACTTTCGACGCCATGGTAACGAGCGAGTGTTGAGCGGGTGCATGCCTTGACCCTGTGTTTGACAGTATTTGGTACACTAGCGTTGAATTCTTTTCTCTCAAAGTTTGCTTCTGCAGCTGATGTATATATCGATATCGGTCCCTTCCCTGGATGTTTGTTTCCCGATTTCCATCGGTACTCGTAATACGCAGATACCCTCGCCCACATCTGCACCACAACAATTTCCCCATAACCTCCCGACGCGCATTCACCACGCCGCTACCACAACTCCATTATGTGCCCTAGGTCACGCCTCATGACATCTCAAATCTGGACCCATCTTGCCGCACCCCAACGATGACGATAACGCCCTGTGAGGCTGATGTGGAGAGCGAGTGGAGGTAAAGAGGGAGGGGACGGTGGATATGGGTCCGTCTGCTGGGTGGTGCATACATGGCGAGTGCTTCCCTTGTGCTTGCAACTGAAAGGCTGATTTTGCAGTACGGTTGTCAAACACGCGTGCTTCTGCACAGATTTGACCAAACCTTTCAGTTTCTCACTACGTCGCGTCTACATCCAAATCAGTCTCGTTTGGCGCAGGCCATAACTCAGGTGCGTTCAGATGTATTCATGTGAGGATGCGAGCGTTGATCGCCGTGACCTCATTTCAACTTACAATTTTCAGTCTCAATCTGCCCCACTACCTCCTGGTTTCCGGTCGTCTGCTTCTCCCACTACTGTCGCACTACCTATTAACCTGGCGGCCTCTTAGTCCGTGTCGTTCGTTACGGCCCGTTATCGATGTTTCTCTTGCACAGGGTAAAGAGCTACGCTCGGTCACCTTTTCTCGCAATCTACAGGAGCACGCATTCATGCTGAACATGGAAGCAACCGTTTGTGCTTTTTGAGTTGCCTGTAGATCACCTTCAAGGGCGTTCCCTGGTAGTTCAATTTTATTTCAATCGTCATCCCTTGCCGTGTCTTCCATGCTCAATACACCCGATGCATTACTTGTTGCTGTTCTATCAATGACTCGCGTCTCAGCACTTGACACGTTGATAACGTTGATGCCTGATCTACTCGATTCATCACATAGCAATAGTATCATCTCAGTTTAGCGAAGTTATTCCGCATGAGCAAATGCACAGTTCATTCGAATCCGCCAGAGAAGGAGGGGTGTAGCTACTGATTCGTTTGCTACAGTAGCATTTAGTCTGGAGTTCTTGCCACAAAATGGCGGGTCCAGAAATGAGATTACCAAGGACGAAAAAAGATGTAAGGATACAAATAACATACGTATCCACATTCATAGAACACTGAATGTGAGGAGTGACAGGTAATCTACACTACGCGGGGATGTCTAGCAACAGAAACAATACCGGTCGCTTCCATGCGTCCCCGTATTAAGTTCAGGGGGGACATAGTCTTCCTCACGAATATATTCATTGTCAGGGCCGGGAGCACCTGCTGCAGCGTTGCGCTGCGATTGAATGGATGAGACCTCGGTGACAGGAGTAAAAATGAACTAAACACACCAATTGACCCGGTGCGAGAGGGACGTCAACAATAGGCGGAAGTGCATGACCTGCACGAACAGGCCACCATGTTGATATATTGTGTAGACGGGTAGAGAAGGTAGTGGGTGTGGCGGCAGACGATCGAATGGTTGACAGTGGTCTAGGCTGAATAAAATGTGAGCCAAAAATGTGATAACAGTAGGGGAAACTCACGTTCTCGCTGGAATTGATATCCGAACGTCCCTGAGTTGCAGTGGGCCCTGAGAGAGAGTGGGGTAGGGGCAACGTAGCAGATAACTACATCGCTATTATCCAGTCAAATGAGAAAGGAGCAAAGAAGGGGACATACATCTAGAGGACCGCGAGGCTCAATATGATTGCGAACAGGAGGAATTGCGGCTGTGTGAGAAGAGAAGGGAAGAAGTTTGCGGAGGCGAAGTAAAATGGGTTGCTGTGGGTTGATTATAGGCGGAGGCCTCTGCACCATAGGTATGACGGGTATCGGTGGTCTGCGGGGCACTGTGGGAGGACGGCGAGGTGCGTCAGACTGCAATGATAACGATGGATGAGTAGTGTAATGAGTGAAAGAATGAGGCACGTACATTTAGAAGATCATTGAGGTTTGACGTTTTGCGTGCACTGGTCTGTAAGGGAATATCAGCACACGAGCAGTAGATGTGTTCGGGGAATGCGTACACGGGCCTGAGCAAGCACATCGCGTGGAATATCGCATATGCATATCTTGTGCTTGTACTCATCGTATGTCGCGGTCGTGTAAGCTATTTTGCGCGAGTCGGGTGAGAGGGCAAGGGTGAAAAGATCCTGAACATCGAGGGAAGCGAGGAGTTGGCGGGACTCGAAGGCCCAAAGATTGATGGTGTTGTTGGCTGAAGCGCTAGCAAGGAGAGTGTTGTCGGATGAAAGTGCTAGACCTGTAACAAGCCTGGTGTGCCCTTCGAAGGGAGTTCCGACTGTCTCCAACGTTAATGCGTTAAACTCGTAAATTGTCTTGGCATCAAGATCATCCGTGAAGTTGAATGCGGCCAAGATGGTTTTGTTGTTATTTGTCCAAAAAATTGGCGCAGTTATCATTCTCCCTCCACCAGGTTTCCCCATCCTCGCATCCAATTTCTGTTTTTGGATATCCCAGACCTCAAGGCACTTCCCCACCCATGAGTTGACTGCGAGCTTCTTCGAATCCATCGGGAATCGAACTGCGCCCACCCAATCAACGCTCTGGAATGGACCGGCCACGAGTTCGCCGGTCTCCAAGTTCCATATCCGCGCTGTAAAATCCCTTGACCCACTCGCCAGCAGCTTGCTGTCCGCGGATATATCAATGCATTCGATCATCGCTGAGTGGCCTTTGAATTCTTTCACAATCCCCATCTCAACCTCACAGGCTTTCAGCTCCGAATGATGATGATTTCCACTAGCGGTAACAACCCACCGACCATCCCTTGATACCGCCACTGCAGATACCTCGTTCTCGCAAACACCCCGCGCTTTCTCAAGCTCCTTACCCGCCTTCAGATCCCATTGCCGAGCGGTCTTGTCAAAAGATCCACTAATAATTCGCTGGCCATCAGGAAAGTAGGATATGGATCTAATCTCAAGCCCATGACCCTTCAAAGTCATTTTTGGTTTCAGAATCAATTTCGTGGCGGCTGCCTTCGTCGATGTGGAAGCCATGGCTGCGTCTCCGCGAGAGAAACTGTCAAGTAGTCAAATCCGGGAGGTACTCTCTGGATGCGTTTGGATGTACGGTGCGCTCTCTTCGTGTGCTGTAGGTCTGATGTTGGTCGTTTCGAAGATTCCCGCTGGAACACTTGCGAGAGCAGTGTGCCTCTAGTAGGTCTGATCGTTAGTTCAGCTACGCTGCGAGTTCAGATGAGAGTTACCAAGAGGATGAGAGAGGGAAGAATTCTGCAACGTGAGCACAGCAAGACGTGCTATTTCTTAAATTTACACAGGAACTTCGCTCTTGGGTGTGAATCCAAAAGCTAGAGCGTCAATCTCTTGTTTATTTCCCACACGCCAGTGTTGCTGTGTGCTTGTGGGACTCTGGCGCGTCCAGACGACCCGAAAAATGTTTTATATGCTGTAGCATTTCATCTTTCCTCGTTTTTACTCTTCATCATTGCAATGTCGTGTGGGGACAGCACAGAGATCACATCGCCTCGTCCAATACCCTCCCATCGTTTTTGGCGCACGTTAATCCAAGGTGTTCTCGCTTTCCCAGCACACCACGAACCTACATAACCTGTCACCATCGTCCATTTTTGCTTTGATCATGCCCTGATCACGCCGAGATCTTCAATGTTCCGAACGTTGAAAGTCTCTCTTACGCTGCGATTCAAACAGGAAGCGCCCAAACCTAAAATTCGAAAGTCGAAGGCGATGCAAATATAATCATGTAACGACCATCACATGAGACCCGCTCTCCCAGGCCATTGCTGCGAATCCTGATGTACGACTAGAGCATGCACACAGAGAGTATATTGATATGGCCAATAGAGCGCAGGCAGAACGCTCACTGCAGTATAATATCATCAGCTGGGTACTCGCCTCGTAGAATCAGCCTGGACTATTTGTTGTAAATTTTCAGATCTATTGACTACACAATCTCGCACAGCCAAGTCGTTGATATGTGGACGTAGTCAGACTCGAGGCGGCTCCATATTCGTTCTATACAGGACAACAAGTCAGAGACAAGCAAGGACAGTAAAAAGACATACATATCGTACATGCTAATTGTGATCGACTGCGACAAATCTCCACGTGTGCCACTTCTGACGCCATGGAGTTACCCTGGGTTCAACTGAGCGACGTCATGTAGCATGCGCTTCACTAATGCTTGGACAACAGGCTACCGGCGTCAGAACGACAGGTGTGCACGACCACTCCATTGTATTTCATGTGAGCTACGTACTAATCAGCAACACAAATACAGCATCAGATGGGGAAGTCGTATCGACAGCTCAATGCTATGAATTCCTGTCAACTCCTCAATGCTACGAGAGTGGTACCTGAGCATGCTGATCTGCGGGTTAAGTGGCGAGGGATGCATGATGCGGAATACACGTCCAGTAACTCAACTTGCAGCCTCAGAATGAGTGGGATATGTGACCGCCATACACGTCCAGTTGTTCAAGCATGGGCGTGAACTTGTTAGCTAAAATAGGATCCGTGGGCAGAGGAGTGGCTCTTGAGAGTTGCTTGAGAGTGCACAAGGAGGGGACTCAGGGGAGCCGAAATAAACATTGAACCGTGACGACGTGACATGATCTCGGCTATTTGTTGTTGTTTGGTATGCGCCCAAATCTTCACCCAATGACGTCCAATTGCAATCGTTCATGAAATAAATTCCTGCTCTGCAGATCCTAACTTGCCCAAGTCCGACACACATATACCGTCTCCCACCCCCACCCACCTACGTTCTGCCATCAACGTCGCCGTTCCCGCGCATTACTCACCACGCACAACACCGTTGCGTGCGTTGCCACGCTTTCTTTGGGCACGAATGTACTTTACATTTCGAATACTCAGCTGCCCTCACCACTTCTACTACCCAACTCCAACTTCACCATTTCAATGTAACCTCTCCGACAATAGATGGTGTGTCTCACTCCCACAGAGGTTCCGCCGCGTCTTGCTCAAGTCCGTGCAACACTGTAGACAAGAGCCGCGTACACGGAGTGGGACAAGGGAAGAGTGAAGTTTCTCGTGCACGGTGCGGGTTTGTAGTTGAAGGATGGGTAGGTAGGATGGGTAGGTTTCACCTCGATCAACATGATATATTATTGACCCCTTCAGGCAATACTCGCTGTGCCGTTGGCTTCCAGTGCTAAGCATCCGGTGAGTACCATGGAGTTTCAAAATGCAGACTGGCTTCACTCGTCTTTGGGATGTCCATAAAAACCACAGGATTAGAAGTCCAGCCTACATTCGACAGAGGTGACATCTTGAAGACTTGCGCTTCATCGAAGACGGTAGTGTCAGCAGAGCCGTTGGAGCTTCCGTCTCATCTCGACACCGTTACACACAGCGACCAATGATCACCGTCTTTGCTAATCTCATGATGACTCCCGAGTCACCTTTCCCATGCTGCATCCATCGCCTCACGAGCCAACAACACCAACAGCCTTTTCAAGCAGGAGTTCCAGGCCGCCCATGAACGCGCTTTCAGTCATATCTTCATATATTGTCTATCCACTCGTACAGTGCAAGGTGAGGTGCTGGGGCAGTGCCGTTCTGTAGTAAAATGACTGTGGCTACAAGTGACGACACCGTCTACTCACCGGAGCCTGGCTCGTTCCACTCAATACTGATCCATCGACCCCGACACAATTTTACCTGCATGTCACCATATCGCAGTCATATCATCTTCGACGTGATACATATAAGTATCAATACTATCACAGAACGGTGAGTCGTTGTGCTCATGATAGGCAGATACAACTTACTGCCACCAGATCAGAACATTCGCATTACATCCAAATTAATTTACGACACTTGGATTTTCCACTCAGAGAAGAGTCTCTGCCAGATCTTGCCTACCGAACACACTCAGCATCCGCAAGCGTGGGGTCAACTTCCTGTATTCAGTGGAATCTGAAATGCAATGAACCGCAAGGAAAAACAACATTGCAGTATGTTATATACCAACAAAAATAATCAGTTTCGCGTACATTGCACCTGCCTCCCTGCAATGTTTCTTCGTAAAATTTGAATGAGCACAGGAAATCTGTAATAGTAAGCTCGAAAGTGTACACTTCATGTAGCAAACAGCTTTCGAACATGGAAAACAACAGTCATGATTAGATGACGTTGATGACCAGTGATCATCGGCCCTATGATGAATATTCGGTGCAGAACGGCCAACAGAACCATACAGAGGACCTGCTCTACTAGCCAGGCGAAGATACTGGAGTTCGTGAGAGGACATCCCCATCGAACGTGAAACAAATCAATAAATACACCTCATGTCCATGGTCGTACATAGGATAACACATCCGAAGATCAACAATTCTGAGCGAAGGTACTCTAGAGACAAAAATGTGCATCGATGCGTGGACGTTTTCGAACTTACTACAGGGAGAGTTCAAATGGCAGTAATCAGATGTGAACGTGCGCTAAGTGCCACCGTGAGCACCACCATGGCTGCTATTCGCTGTATTGTCCTGGCGGGGTTTCTCGACACGCTCCAAGCGCCATCGAGGAGGCTTCCTCAGTCTGCCATGAGACCAACACGAATAATAGCAAAGGAACGCCTTGCACCAATGCACGTCCGGGAGCGAATCATTGTCAGATAACTCGATGTCCCGCTGCCCATACGGATATCGGGTGTCGTCTTCTTTTCTGTATTCTGGTAGTTTGGCAGCGGCTAGCCGCTGTAGGGAAAAAAATAAGCAAAAGGCACTGAGAGGTAAGAACATGTACGTTACAGTGAACTTCCGCCCAGCCGCGACATCAATAACTGGCGGCCCATTTCTATACCTTGGTATGGGGAAAGAAAGGTGCTACCGCATAAATAGCGCGACTCCGTTCGAGGGGGGGAGGCGAAGAACTTATTTCGAACTGGATACATATTCAGTCACACTGCAAGTTTCTTCCGAAAACATTGAGGACTGACACTTTCAATATGAGCTGTGGGCTGCACTAAGAGAGCGAAATTGGATGGTAGGGGCGATGTAGCAGAGAACTGAAGCACAAGCGTTGATTCAACTGCAAAAGGAGAAAGAAAAGGGGACGCACATCTAGAGGACCCCGAGTCTGATTGTTTTGAACGGCCAGAACTGCGTTTGCGCGAGAAGAGAAGGGAAGAAGTTTTCGGAGGCGAAGCAAAATGGGTTGATGAGGGTTGATTGCAGGCGGTGGTCTCTGCGACATAGGTATGGCATGTATTGGTGGTCTGTGGTGCACAGCAGGACGACGACGAGTTGCGTCAGACTGAAATGAAGGTGATGGATGAGCAGTGTGACGAGCAAACAAATGAGGTGCGTACTCTTAGTATATCAGTGATGGTTGACTTGTTTTGTGCACTGGTCTGTAAGAGAATGTTAGCATACGGATAGTAGATGTTTGCGAAGAATGCGTACACGGGCCTGAGCAAGGATGTCGGGTGGAATGTTGCATATATGGATTTCATAGTCAATGGGCATCAGGTAAGTATGCTGGGAGTCCCTGGATGTCACGTAAGCTAGTTGGCGCGAGTCGGGTGAGAGGACAAGGGCATGGGGACGTTGAACGTTGAAGGAAGCGAGGAGTTTGCGGGACCCGAAGGCCCAGAGCTTGACGGTGTTGTCGTCTGAAGAGCTGGCAAGGAAAGTGCAGTCGGATGAAGTGCTAGACCTCTGACAGCGTCGGTGTGACCTTCGAAGGGAGTTCCCACAGTCTCCAACGTCGATGCGTCGAAATGTACTTGTAACATTGGACGTTATCTAAAAATGTTTGATATGCTGTAGTGTTCGACGTTCTTCGTTGCAGTTTCGCTTTGGGCCCCAGCGGATGCATGAATCGTTTCTCATTAACATTGCACAGTGCCAACACGTAGACCACTTTTGCTCTGCGTCTCAGTCTCAATTGTTCTCTCATCAAAGGCTTTCTCACTTCCCTCAGCCTTACGCCCCTCGCCAATCCACAACCTATCAGCATCAACCATTTTTTTTCTTTTAGAAGGCTCTCGTCGCCTTTGAGTTCACAATGTTCCGAGCTTTGAATGTCTCTCAGATTGATAACTTATAATGAGATCAAATAACGACGCATCTATTCACAATCCGAACGGTCAAGAGCGATAAGAACATCGTCGTGTAACAACCGTCACCCGCAACCCGTTGTCCAAGGCCACTGCTGCGAATCCTGACGTACGTTGAGGGCACTATATTATGCTGATGGCAGAGATGTGGAGCCATACGGACATAATGTTATGACCACAGCACTGACACTAGCAGAACGCTCCGCCTGAATGCCATCGATTGAGCTCTCGGCTTGTGCGAGTGGGACTGATCCGGCACTGTTTCTCGTGGCATCGTAATGCTATCAACGAATCGATACATGTAGTCCCCTGCAATCGCTAATACTAGCGCAGTCCCTCAAGTACTCTCACAGAGAGGATGCAACTCCTGATTCGTTCTGCAAAGAGACTGGTCAGATATGGGTGAGTGCAATGAGACTGAACAGAGAAATATACAGTGTACAAGTTAATCGTGGTCAATGGCAACGGTTCTCTGAGCATGCTAGTTTCCGATGCCCTGTCGTCGACAGAGAGTTACTTGAGAGAATGTCTGCGTTGGGCTTTGTTAACGCCGGGGAGTTAAGTCATTTTCGTGTGTGTAGACGCTCACATTACACCTAAACTCGCTAGGGCCAGAACAACACGTGGCGCGACCACTTGGATTGACCTGCTTGTTAGCAACAAATCAACACAAGAAGGTGGATGAAAAGAGATAAAAGGGCACCGAATCAGAACTGTCACACTGTACACTGGATGGGGACGGTGGGCTGTGCATCAGCATCCCTTCAACTCACTGGTGCCAGAACGACGGCTTGAGACAGGCCTGATCACCAGGCTGTGTGCAAATGCGGGACAATTAACGCAGCACGTTCGAGAACCGCCAAATGAGAATGCCCTGAAAACACCCACAACCAGTCTGGTATCACAGTATCTCGCCCATTTGACCTATGGTATTGCTCACCTAAGATAGCAGCACTTATCAATAGCAAAACGACGAGGAAGCGAAGTAGGAACCGTAATTTGAGAATCGATTACTCGAGAGGGCGTCCGCATTGTGCACAGATATGCATCGTGGGCACTGGCGAGTTGAACCGCAAGCATTGTGGGGTGCTACGATTCAAAATACCAGTGACACCAGCCTCAGAACGAGCGGGGTACGTGAGCACCCTGATACACTGTCAATATCCCCCAACAGCTGGTCAACTATAGGCACGACTGGCATGTACTTGTCAGCGATGGCATTGGCGGGCAGAGAAGTATCGTGCAGATGCAGAAACAGCATAGTAACGCACGTAGGGAGGCGGATGAATTCCTCGTCACTTATTATGTACAGCGAGAGAGCGAGCATCGTGTAGTTGTGTTAGAAAACATTATTTGTTGTAGTTTGGTACCCAAGCGCTAGCATCAGACATCCAACCACGAAATTATATTAGTATATATAAGATTATAATAAACAAAATTGCCACAATAAGTGTAACAATGATAAGTCGTGTTGTGAAGTCTTACATGGGAGGATAGACAAGGCAGGAGTCACCATCTACGTAAGGATGAGATTAATTATCGAGTGTGATCAAAGGGATGTGGATTACCAATGTCCACCTAGCCTTGCAATTGTGACCATTTATAGACGGTAGTCCCTTCAATTATAATGTATGCTTGCCTTGACAGAGCGTACAAAGGTCACCATAAGGGCAGGGATTGCACAGGAGTATCTGCATGGCAAGGAATTTAACTTTTGCAATTTTGATGCTCCGTCAACTCTAGCATCTAAGTATGTAATGGAAGCGTGCTTTTATGAAAGGTACAAATGATGTCAGAATGTTACCAATTGGTATGTTCTTGCAAGTATTAGCTACGAACACACTTGTTGGACTCGTGACCAGCAAGGTAATAGCTAGTGAATTTGGAGAAAGAATCTCATCATGATATGTGCTAGTAAGTCTGTATCATCACAGACTATGTAGTCTATCATTGCATCATGACCGCCTTAATTGCCACTATGGGTAAAAACATACAAAAACGAGCAGAATTTATCACTAAGTCTTAGTTTGAAGGCCGGGTATAACCTTGGTGTCAGAAGATACTCTCTCACACAGGTTTTGGATCACTGAACGTGGATTGTATAGCACATGCAATAAACTATCTTGTGCCAACTTTGTGCTACACATCACCACTACTACTGTCAGGGACTGAAGCCTCTTTCATTTGGGCTCGCCTCTCTCGAATCCTCGCCAGCGCACTGTTCTTGACCGGGGGACGTTGAGCAGTTGAGTATGAAGGAAAGATTTGCCTAGAAAATATGAGCATCAGCAGAGCGGAAAAAATAATCAATCACCTGTTCCACCACACAGCAAGATCGTCTACCTCTTGTTTCTCGTCGGGATCTTCGAAGACGTCCAAAATGGAGTTGTAGAACCTTTCGGAATCTGTGACTGTGTCGGTACGCGAGAAAACAGGTGAGGAGGTGAGGGCGAACCGGACCTGGAAAGAAAGTTCACTTAGAAGAAATAAACAGATTTGAAATGTAGACGCACCTGAGTTGCAATGTATGCAATGGATGGTAGAGTAATTCGGGTCATCCCGTGAATACGAGCATTACCTGAACGAGTTGCCTTTGGTTCTCTGTCTACAGAGCTAGGGGACGTAAAGACATGTTTATATGCCTGTAGGTCTAGTTCAGCGCAAAGAAACCCGGAAGTGACACAAAAGTTTATATCTCACGCAAACTAACAGGGCACTTCGAAACAGACCATTCCACGGATCCTCAGGATCATAATGGTAGTCAGCATATAAGAACAACGGCCATTGGTCTCCGGTCACCATAATCTCGCCACTTCGTAGCTTAGCTTTTGTCCTGCATGGCGTCAGTATGTACGCCAAGTAAACAGACAAACAAGGTACCACGCACTCTGAGTGAGACCAGTCCAGGCCAGCAGGACAAAGTAACGCGCCTGTCCGTTCGTGATGAAAACCACGGTCAATTTTCACATTGCGAGCGAGAGGAGGAACCAGATTCTGTCCCTTGGGGGTAATCCAGTCAAGCACACCGCCTTTGAGGTGTTTGGTGTCATCACCTCTTGCTCCAGAGGCGCCCTTGGTGAGCTGAGGGGAATGTGAGGTACACAATTTACTTTAAAGAGGTAGGAAAACGGAATAGTACTTGCCAGTTCTGCAACTACGTCAACCTCATCATCTCCGCTATGGATCAAGCGCTCTTCCAGGCCAGCCACAGACTTGAGGAGCTCTTGAAAAACACGATGCTCACGCTGTTCCCTGTACATGCGATTAAATAGGCTGCATGTAACTCTGTAGAAAAGCAAAATACTCATTGGTGAAGTTTTCCTCTGGAATCTCGGCCAATTCTCCCATACGTAAGATTCCATTTGTGAGGAGGGCTTGGAAGTTGCAAAGAGCGTGCACTGTTCGCCCAAAATGACGTCCGTAGTGTACCAATGGATCGGCCGCACTCCTGTATCACGATTGCAAAGGTCAGCGGCAATGGCTTCCCGCAAATCTAAAGTCACCCACGGCCTTTTCCTGGGGCCGAGTTGAAGGGCATCAACAGGCTGTTTGCGACGTTGGCCGCAGGATTGCTGGTCGTCGAAGTCTGCCATAGCAGGCATAATGGTTGTGAGGCAGGATGAAAATCACTGGTATTTTCCACTATGACTCGGACAGTCAGATTTTAACCCTTCTGCTATGTTATTTGGTGTGGTTTGAGCGGGTGACTTGAATCTGTTTTGGGAATTCAAGCAGTAGCGGCTCGGAACTCGTTAGGAAACATTGTCGATGAGGTAACAATTGACTTGTCAATTACACACTTACTAAACAACAGACAGGTTTTTGAACTGTGGAGCCGCATTCGCGAGCGCGATGATAAGTACCAGATTTCAGCAGCAGTCGCAAGGCGTGACATCAAAGCTTACATATCCAAGGAGTTAGAAGGGTCGGATTTTCAGGACGGACAGTTTGCAGTCCTCGCTGAGAAAGCTGATGGACTTTTCGAGTGGGCGCGTGCGCGTGCGAGTACATCAAAGAGTCCCATACTGGATTATCTCCAAATGATTGCTACGAGGCCGTCGTGTCACGCGATCCTGCTGAAAGAAGCTTATTGTTGCACGAAAAGTTACTTGTTTGCTCAGGTTCATTGAGAGCGCCCTACCAAACACTAGCTACAAAATTCTACACCGCGACTTTGTGATACAGTATGTACAAAGATAAATCAAATCGTAACGTATTCTTTGTATTGATGCCTGAAAACATTCAATCATGCCTCCGAGTCGGGCCTCGTAGGCCGTTTGCTAACGCCAGCGCATTTCGGCTACAATGCATACATGAGACAGATTGAGTTAAAGTACATTTACTCACAGGTCAGCTAGCCAGCCACCTTCTCCGTCGCGGGTAGTGATCCAGTAATTCAACTCAACTCCTTCATTGTCAGTGCGCTGGCGGGCCATCGTGAGGAGATGTAATTGGTGGACGGCCTCGTGACGCACGTCCGCAGAGCGTAAAGTGCCAGGGTTGATAACAAAGCGACGCTTGAACTTCAATACATACTATAGAAAGGGGTCAGTGTCAAATACAAAGTCGTCGACAACAGCACGTACCATTGCACATATCACCGACATGAGTTGTGTCGGAATTTCTCGGTAGTCATTAGGGAACAGGTCCAGCAAGGTGCGTTCACCGCTGTTCTGGACCGTTCGCAATAGCCGCTGCGCCATTATGATCAATAGCGTCAACCTACGATACGGTTTCTGAAAACACTGAATGTCAGTTCCATCAGAAGATGATGTTCGAAAGAAAATGATAATACCCCTTGTGCGTCGCGGGTGAAGTTAATCGATGAGGCCACACTTTCATGGGACGTCAACCCAGTAAGGCCATTGATGTAAGCTGTAATCATATGGGGGGGCTGGCTTTGAAGATCGTAACCTCCGATGGAAGCCCTGTCTGAATGTTCGATGTAGGCAGCTGCGCTGGCTTCAAACTCTTTGACGAATGCCGTCCGCTCGCTTGTTACCAATTTGATAGCATTGTCGACGAGTTTCAAGTCTTTTCGTTGGCCGGTTTGACTACATTGGAGGCCTGATATAATGTGAGCAACTCGATATAGTGAACATTATTCATGTTCAACGTGCCTACCTTTCTCTGGTGGTTGACCATAACCCGTCGACATGGCAATCAACGTTGAATCTCCCGAATACATCGTGCCTTGTAAACGGTACTTTGTCTCCAAGCCGAACATGTTGCACGAATGTTTGCCCCAAGTTCTACCATCTGGAGGCACACCCACGCCGCGACGAAGTGCCTCTCGATGTAGTCTTGGGTGTAGTTAATGCCCCTACGGAACTGTTGGGGGTCACATAAGATATAGTGCCCCTCAACGATGTTCGGGCGTCGTTATGAACATCGGTTGTGGAATTAGGAGGTGAGCAAAAGTGCGGGCCCACCATATGTCGGTGGTGCAACTGCAGGGGGTTGGGACGATGGTGTGATTCCGGAGCTAGTGGGAGCCCAAAGCCCATACTAGTAGGAGGGGCAGGGGAGGGCGCTTTCAAATTGCTGATGTATCGTTGTCCATCCATATCCCTTCACTCAGCGAACTGATGGCCGACATGAATTCGTCGTCACCGAAATCCGCGCTGAAAGTCAAGGGGATTGTTGCGTCATCCGGTTTGGCAACCTTCTATCGAAAAAAGTGATCGTTGCATTTGTTGCAATATTAAACGTACCTGTACTGCTGGTAGCGGGACATTTTCTTCATCCGAATACATACAGACCTTTTTCCACCCATCCGGGACGACAAATCCGGTTGGCTACCAGGGAAAAACACAAGTGGAATTAACACCCTAATCACCCTTGACGGAAATACTTACCGACAGCGCAAGCTCATCATGTACTCTGTGAAGGACATTAATAGGAATTTTCGAATAGACTGGGATATGAATAAAAATACCACATATGTTGGACGGAAGACTCCAGTCTCCACGCCCGAAGTCTGTGTAATATCATCCCGTATATAGGCCACTTTGAAAAATGATTTTTTGACATCTTCGAAGTCAAATTGCTGGAATAGCGTGAGTCGGATAATATCATAGAAAATAGGAACTTACTGGATGGACAAAACCCATTCCGTGATATCCGAGATATAATTGTTTGAACTTGAAGGGGGTGTGTAGATGTAGCCAACTTTAAGGCGAGACTCGGAGGGACATGATAAGTCACTCAGATGGCGAATTGCGCTGTTGGACTGCATTTTCAGCCAGCTTTCTTAAAGTCAGTACTCGCGTCAAAGGATAGGTCCGTGAATCAGACACGTGTATGATCCAGGAGCCAGGACTCCTTGATAAGCGCTCACCAAATTGAATACATGGCTGACCCCGTTCGGTTTTTTTTGACGAAGTCGTGGACCAGGTGCTGGGAGTGATTACTGATTTGGATTACTGGCTCGAGATCGGTGTACAAATACGAATACTTGTCAGCTCCTGGACAGTGGAGACTATCTATCGCCGTTCCATTACCTCAAATGTTCTATAGAGTAGTGACATATAATGTTCGCCATCTCCTTAAAGCAAACTCCGGCATTGGCCAGCGGCTTAGCGCTTTAAATTTGAATAAGCGGCTAAGAATCCATAGACCTAGACGAACTCTCTTGATAGATGAAAAAAAATATTACATAATCGATGCCTGGATTACCGATTTATATTTGTAGCTCGAGATCCAGTGTCGTACTGTACAAAATATGAATAGATGAATCTTAAGTTGGATTTGTAGTTCAAATTGTGAATCTAAATGTACGCATACGAATACTGGTCGCAAATTTTCATGAATTGGCAGTTCGCTTATGATTGGATTAAAGACCCCCGTATGACCAGTAATTCTACAACAGACGACGTGGACAACAGGCATACAGTGCAATCTGATAGGTGTACCACCGTAGGTCCGTATTGCAACGTGTGTGAGCCTGTGTGAGCCGCTGTCGGAATAACCCGTAAATTTTACTTAAGTACTTCAATCGATTTTACTAGAGACTTGAGCAGTATAACAAAGACACAAGAACTTCCAATTTTCAGTGCCAATATGTCCTCCACACTCGGGCAGCATACTCTTGCACCAGGCACCCCCGCCTCAGCCTGACCGTCAAATCAATTCACATACTCTTTTGCCGAATCTTGTGGGTAATTCCCGAACATCCAACGTCTTGAATTGTGCTGCTTGGCGCAGCAACGTGTCACGATATGTCCTCAAGAGACATACCCCTCTCTACCTATCTCCCACGAAGCCGTGCAAGAATCGCAAACTGTGTGTGTCATTGTTAGATACTAGTATTAATCCCCAGTGACAATCAACTAGATGGAATCCTTATGCCTTCCCCCATACTGGGAGACACATCACGACAGTGATCTCACCATTGCTCTCATAAGCGCTCAACGCTTAGAGCGTCGGGCAGAGTGTCGACTTATCCGGAGACGTCTGAAACGTGTCATGATTGACAAAGAACTCTACGACCATATGGAACAACGGATGAGTCACAAACTTCGCAAAGCTGACTCTGGGGTTGGTATCTCCCGAGGTGCATTGCGCATGTCTGGCCGCGCACCTGCAGGCATGATATTGATGATGCGGATAGTGATGTATCGAGTGTGGTGCCTGATTCGGACATAGATGCATCTTCTTGACAGGACGGTGTCCCATCGGTCGCTGGTCAGGGTGTGTACCATAATTTTTTCACATTGACATGCTGTACACTTGTTGTCCATTTTTACCTTAGGCCTTTCCTACCCCTTCTTGAAGTACTCAGTTTTTGATATATATAATGTATATATGTCATTATTCACTGCGGAACGGCACAATTGTTTATGAGTATGTGCTACCTTTGTGATTGAGAATTGCGACAACCGATAGTACAGACTTGGTGCCATGACTATTTATCAGGTGCGCACATGTTAAAGAATGTAGCAGAACTAAACATCATCTGTAGTCAGATCAATGATCTCCATATCTCCTTTCTTCTCCTGTCCTATACAGTCATGGCGCTCAAACATGCGCCTCGTCATGATGAGCTCCGCAACAATTGCACCTTGTGAGGAAACAATGAAATTCGTCTTTCGTGAGACCAGGTCGGGTGAAGGAGTCTAGTTTCATAAGCCTCTCGAACGTTGTGTGAGTGTCATGTCCTTCGAAAGCTGTTGCCTTTCGATAACTTCCCGCCAGTTCGATGTCTACAAGTTGAAATAAGTATCAACTTGTTTAGTACCGCACACCGAGTCCTAGCTTGCTCATATACGCTTACCATTCCCATCAACAAACACAATTTCTTGTGGTCTGGCTTCGTTAGGACCTGTGTTATGAAGCGCGTTAGCTCAATGGTGCTACTGATGGTTGCCGCATCTTGACAGAGGTGTAGCTCACTTCGTCTTGAATAACTCTTGATGGGTAACCCGATCGAACTATGCAATTTCTCAATGAAAACTAATGAACAAATTTGTCAGGTAATCTTGAATAGGTCACGGCTGTCCAGCCTAGTAGGGGTGCCGGTGACTCACCAACATAACCACACTTGCTCAATGCACAACAGGCAACGTACTCTCCTGCATTTGGTCCCCGAGTCATCATGACTATTGCCGCCTCATAGTGGTCACTGGGATCGCTTTTATTCAAGAGCAAGCATAGGCAGCGTGGTCCTCGGAATTGGTGAGATCTGCGATATGCTACAAGGTCAGAAGGAGCAACGCGCTCTCCATCGTCCTTGACTGGCCTGGATCCATGCAAAAAGTGAGTAAGACGTCCAAGATATTCAACCCTTTGTATAAGTTGGCTAACGCACCAATACCACACACACAGTGTTTTTCCGGTCTCATCCAGTTCGAGCACAGCATTCATCCGGTTGCTGACTTGAACTGCAAGCCTCGTTCGCTGATGCTCTCGTTTAAGTTCTTCAGCTGCAATGCTGGAACGTACACGATCAGGAGCCATAATAGTATGCCGAGGTTCGACTTGTACAACTGCTTCGAGTCTCACTGTCCTCAGGGCTTTTATACTATTTCGTGTGTTTACTGCCAGTGCGTAGTTTTTACAAAATCCCGTATCTATTTCCTAATTGAAACATGTAGACTGTTTACATTCATGTTTCGAAGCTTTCCTGAACCCTAAGTGAGCGCTCTGGTTGGATTCACTTCCACAAACGTAAAACAACACGAAATGCTTGGCTGCCTCGGGCTGCAAGCAGCCTGAGACCGAGCACCTTATCAAACTGTCCCATAGTAACACAAACAGGTGACCGTGACGATATACTGCTGGCTTGATGTACACGGTTTCACTGACTTACAATGAATGACTCGCCTCCATCCTCAGAAGCATCTTATGCAACCCCGAGAGGATTTTCAACTATCTGCCCTTGTGGACGAAGCTTTGGTCAGTTAACGCATATGCGAACCATCAACGGACCTGTAAAAAAGAGGAAGAAACGCCTTTCCAGTGCACTTGCCAAGGCGAAAGAGGTGTGGACTATAAGAAAAAAGCCATGCCTTGAAGGCCAACCTAACATGACAGCCGGGCTCATTTCCCCTTCAACTTGGACGTCGCATAGGCCAGGAGACAGCGAGGCAAGCCAGGGGCTGGATCATAAGTTTGCAAGCTCAGAACTCAGTTCTGAGGAGGCTACTGTCGGCGGAGTAGAGCGTAATCTAGGGTCGGGACCAGGAAATGAAAATGAAAATGATGTGAGTGTTATTGGGAAAGTTATAGCCTTGCTTTTCACCGAGATCGAAACCTAGGATGGGTTCAATCCTGCAGAATCTTCGCATGCGGTTGATGATGGACGGTCGCTGGCTGAGCGTCGCCCAAGACGCCTTGATCGCCGTCTGCCTGCGCGGTTTCGAGATATTCTTCCTCAACCCCCGCCCATGGCCGAGCTAGCCCTGCCGCCAGCGGCAGATATCCCGCCCACTTCGGATGCAAGTGCACTGCCGTCCCGCACACTTCGCTTCTTCCGCACACTTCCTAACGTATTCGGACTTTTGCGTCAGTACTACAGCAATGGTCTGCTAACGCACGACCCAGAAGAGATTACAACTCTGGAGAACCTCACTCTGACGCACTCAGACCAAGAATGTCCGGATCCCGTTATGCCCGCTCCTGTAATGCAGCATGACAACTTGGAAGCCCCAGACACCTTCTATCCGTATCCAAACAAGTCCTCATTTCTCCTTGGCGATTGGTTTTGGAACGGGGGTATCCAGAAGT